GTTGCACCCTCGTAAAGTAACGAAATGTCGAAGTGGTACCGCGCTGCATAATTTCCGATGAGTTATATACGAGGCGCGCGCCCATGCCGCAGCTCGTAGCGCGTTGGAACCGGCATATAAAGTAGAAATTAATATGGTGACGGTGGCGCGAGCCCCGGTGAAATCTCCAAAAAGGATTTCGCGTCCGGGCAGGGGGACGCGAAGAGGGGCCGAAGAAAAAAGGGGGACGGTTATTACCTCTTAGGCCCGATCACCTTGCGCCCGCGACGGCAAATACGCGTGTGTGCGTGCGGGTGGGAGAAAGGGAGGAGACGCGTAAATATCCTCACCGTATCTCCGTGGTAATTAGCGCCGTTATCGCGGCATTTCAATGTAAGGAGTCTCGTGGAATGAAGACGTCAACCGGGGGGTCATTATCGCGTACGTCGCGTAATCGTAGCGAGTGCGACACTCGAGTCGCGGCGCAAGTGAAAGATTATGCTGCCGGTAAATAGATCACTGTGCTGCTGAGGTCCCGCGTGACTCCGACGCAATTTGTAAGATTTTAATCGAGCTTTTCAGTCGACGTTAACCGACCAGTGCTTTAGTGCAGACAATTTATTGCGAAAAATATTATTAGGCTGTTGCATATGAAATGGTTTTCGAAATGAAACTTTCGCCAATTGCTTTCACATGCAGAGCAACTGTTGAATAGTGAACGCCCAGTTGTTCCGCAATATCTCTAACAGTTTGGCGTCCGTCGGATTCCACCTAAACCTTTAGCTCGTCGTTGTTTTATGGCCGTTTCAGGGTGGCCACGGGGCTCATTTCCCAGGCTTACATCTCCTGAACGAAACTTTTCAAACCAACGCCCAGTTGCTCGTTCACTAGTTGTGCTTTCTCCGAATGCCGCGTTGATGTTTCTGATTGCTTCTGCTGCATTATGTCCAAGTTTAAGCTCGTAAAGAAAAATTACCCGTATCTGGCTCTTATTTCCATTATTTCCATTATTTCAAGTTGGCTGGTCACAAAAACGTTGACAGTGATCAATAAAAGAATGAAATATGGATTTTGAAGAACGAAGTTGGCACCGCTACATTCGACAAAAGACGATACGTACTGTTATTTTATTCTAGATTTTAGAATTTTTCATTTAAGATTAAAATATTCCATAAGAAATATAATTGGCGCTACATCGATCCTATTTTATGATACGGTCAAGTGTAATAGCATTGGATCCGGAAATTTTTTCTGTGGGTGTACTCTCTAGGCGGGCGTCTCATCAATTCGGCCACTGAGGCATGTGGTAATATTTGTCGCAATAACGGTATAAAAATTATACCTTCGCGACTATTTTTCGACTTTAAACTGCGCGCCGATTCGGATTGTCGGCAGTACACAGAACTGTCGATACGCGATTTTTAATTATCTTTATCGCCTTCCCCCAATACGAACGCAATTGCTAAGTCCAAATGTTCTAGAGATTGATTGAGACACCATCTTTTAGTCGTAGGTGTAAATTCATACATAAAAATGTTTTTAAGTTGCCAGCAATAAATAACAATAATTATTATTGCTGTTATTTATTACTGGCGACTTAAAGAGATTTTTATGTTTACAAGATTTTATTCAAGCGGTGTTGTTTTGTCAAATAATATACAATTTTACGTGCGCGTTGAATATCGAGAGAAAAGTAATAAAATGTAAATCGGGTATTAAGCTGAGAATACTTCCCGTCGTCGCGTTTCTAGATGTCCGAACGGAAAGGTTTCCATTTAAAAACATACGCGTTACAAAGTAACGTGTATGTTTTCTTGCGTTTGAAACACACGGAAATAAAGCGCCGGCGATTTTTACGGCGTCCGTATCGACGGTGGGATCCGTATATTTCAAACGCCGCTTGTTCCAGGAAACTCTTCTCCGGTGCAAGAGAAAAAGATGCTCTCCCTTAGATTACATGCCTGTTCGTAAATCAGAATTCCGCCGCCTCGCGCGATCCTGCTCCTCCTCCCGTCTCGACGTTTCCGCTACCGCACCGGGAGGACCTCTCCTGCGTCCTTCCGACGATTACCATCTGTAACGACGTATTTCGGGATCCTCCGTGTCACCGGCCCTGACAAATTAGCGTCCCTAACGAGACGTTCCCGCCGTGGAGATCCCATCTCGCCGAGCTTCCCCTTCCGCGAGAGTCGTGCATTTTAATGACCCACCGCGAAAAACTTTATCTTTACGAGTGCGCTGTTCAAAAAAAAGGGAGAGTACGAAATCAAGCAGACTCTTACCCGAGGAGCAACTTCTGCCCATCGCGATTTCCATTCTATTCGCTCAGCTATTCGAGGGCACTCAGTTCGATTGAGAAAATAGATGATTACGCTTTGGAAAACGCGTCTCGCTCGCGGCAAGCATGTATCACCGATGTGCAAGGCGAAAGGATAATTATTTTGTGCATCGCCCGAGGAAATGCGTCCGAACGTCCAATCGTCCGAGAGAAAATTATTTGGACGCGATCGGGTACAATGCTCTGATTGCACACAATTTATCATTTATTTAGATTTTCCGGATACGTGTGCTAATTACTCGAAATAGAAATAAAATTGCGTTGGTATTTCCAAATTACGTCGCGTTTAAACTCTTTATAAAAAGTAAATGAATTCCGACAAGACTGTATGCGCCGCGCTGAGGATTTTATTTCAAAAACGTTCAACATAATTACTTTATATCCCTCTAAAGGAAGGAATAAAAATAGAAACACAGTTGCGTCACGTGAAAATTTCTACGATGTTCGAATATTATTACATTTTTATTTTTAAATCTGCATACTTCTATTCCAATCCATTTATCAGTCTATTTTATCGCGGTTGTTTTCTTCGGCGCGTCGGCTTTAAAGAAAAATGCCAAAGCGGTCGATTAAATGTGTATAATATAATATCTCCATCTAATGCACATTTACGGTTCCAAGTTTCTGTAGCAGTATAAAGTAATAAAATTTCAAGGGCTGAAACTGATGTTCGACGGTCCCTACCTATTTACGCCCACGTGTTTGGCGGTGGTGGTCACGCGTAGACAATGATCCCACATCCATTAAAAAAGGAGGACCGAAAACCGACCGAGCGATCTCGCGCGCATCGAGACTCATGTGGGAGTATCCCTTTTTATTTCCGAAGCGCGTAGGGAGTCTCGTATTACGTATCCTTTTGTATGCGTATGTAAATCTATCGGCAACGGCGTAGAGACGAAAGGGAAGAAAGTGGGAAGAAAGTATCGCCACGAAAGCTCACGTTCGCCGCACGTAAAGCGCTGCAGCTCGTCGTTTTTATTCATGTTCGAATAATCCGATGTTTACGAGACAAACATCTCTTAGGAGCGCACAGTTCTGTGCGCTGTCCTCCATAATTTCTCGCGATATCTGCAATTTCTTGCTTTTCAATTCCACGCAATTCATAATACACTTACTTTTGTTCACCGAGAAAATGCGTTTAACGCTAAATTCATTTACATGAGAAAACAAAGTCGTGAAAATTGCCCGGCGATGAGTGTTGCTTTATGGCGAAACGCGAAAGGGGAATAACGCGGTGTTCTCGCGGCCTTTAGCGACGTTTACGAGCGCATTAAAAAATTCTATAAATATGTTAATGAATGCCGTAGCCACCCCGAAATAAAGCATCGCCGGCATAACTGCAAAAATATCAAAGACATAAGTATAATATATGTATATAATTTCGTACATTTTCACCGATAATAGCGTTTACAAATATAATTACGGGTTTGGGTAACGGCAGTTTTATTGTCGGGCACGGCTTCGACGCCATTGCGTGACAAAAATATATATATATGTATGTCGTGTTTGCGTCGCATGCGTACACGTGTTATTCTGTATGTGCGTCGAAACGCGAACCCCACCCATATCCACCTCCGAAATTTTCGTAGTCGTATATCGTAACAAACGATTCTTTATTGGTCAAACCTCTTTCTCGTGCAAATTTATGCCCGTTTCTTACTCGTCGCTTTTCTTCGTCTTGCTCAATTTAAACGACCGTCCTCCTCGGTACTTAGTATTTTTATTATGCTTAAACGATGGGTTTTCTGTATATCGAAGAACGCACATAATTCCGTCTTTTAAAATTCGCAGCGCTCTCGTAGAAATACGTAAAACGGACGAAAGCGTGCGTGTCACATCGCTGTCGCCTCGGATAGCAAGCTGACGTTATTTATCGTCTTTTCGACGCTAAACTGACGTTTTTGATGACACTTTGATGTCAAAATGACGACAAATAGCCACGGCTATCTATTTAGGACGTTAACTGCCATAATAGCGTTTGTTTAGTGAACATTCCTTTTCAATACGGAACGCTGAGTGGATAGTAAAAAGAAGAAAAACAGATGTCGTCGCTTTACGATGCTCATAATTTTTAAACAATAGAAATATTGCACGTTTGAAAGAACAGTAAAAGAATAATGTGCTGAAATCCGTTCTATTACGATAATCAATTTTGCTAGCAATCAGTAGTATATAAAAACGTTCGTAAAGGTTTTCGTCGGGAGTTTTAATCGGGAAGAGCTTTATTCGCAATGTAGTTAAAGCACGCAAGCAAGGAGAATTCTTTGTCGCAACGAGTGCTTATTCAGCTGACCATACACCGTAGGAAACCACAATGAACGGATATCGACACTGATACAAAGTCGATAATGTCAACGAGCATTTTAATTGAAATTTGTTGTTTCCGAACCTTCTCTTACATAATTATACTAAAAAATTAGCCGTACTCGTCCCGCTCAGTTTGCGCATCTCGATAATTGTGTGACTTTCCCCGCCGCATAACTCACGATTTTATACCGTTGCACTTTACGATCGGTTTGCGTCCTCGCGCGACAGATAGCGATATACTGAGAAACGTGCAAAACTACACGCTTATCAAATGTGTTTCGACGTAATTGTATCTTCTTAACAGGACGGCTGAAGAAACGGACATTTTTTCGACATTGCCGACAAGTTGCCTACGATTAAAAATTCAATAATATTCTGCGTTTATCGTATCATTTCTCTCGTTATTTATTTTGTTAGCGAAAGCTTCGTAGCTGTGACTACATTTTCTTTTCCAACCAGTTATGAGCTCAGCTCAATTCCTTTATGTAAGGTTCAAGTAATACAAACTATGTGCCGTAATATGGGGCATAAAAATTATTACAGAATATCGTGTTAGTTTTCGTCTGTGATGATTTCTGGCTTGGCGTCTGGAGTTCGAAGGTCCAGCTTCCAGTTTATCTTCTCACTGGTATTAGTTCTCGGATAGAAAGTAACTTCGTTGTGAAAAAGGTGTGTCCCATCAGTTCGTTCATCGGTAGAACGCACGTACGGTTCTCCGTTTGCTGTATGACCGGATATGATCGTTTTTGATTCACCGGGTCCGGAGCTCAAGCTTATGACGCTGTTACCACTTGTTGTTATTATATTTCCTTGTGCATCTGCAAACAAAATTTTTACCGTTAGCTACTTCTTCTTATCGTTTCTTTGACGTTATTTATGCGAACAGCTGCATATCACGTCACACTTTCGTAATGATTGATAGTAAGTCAAATTAGACTGCGATATGTCTTTTCATATTTACACGCTCGGGAAGCTCAGAATTCTTAGGAACTGCTTTATTGTCATCGTTACGCGAAACGAAGTGTCACTTTTTACTCTTTCAATTTCAGCTTGTACTTTGATGCGATCAAAATTGAAAGACATTTGATATTTTATTTGGAAAGAAACGTTACGTACTTTAAACAAGCTATAATCTAATTAATTGTCAGCGATAGTGCAATATTAATAGAAATTGATTCGATCTAGCTAGTGCAGCTCTATCACATCCCCAACTAATTGCTTTTAAATTACAATGTCGTCAATTGTCGGGACTTGATTTCAAGCGGGTATTACGGCGATTAAATTTTTCGTGATACTAATCGCCGATAACGCTATTCGATTCGATACGCTCGTGGATATGACTGCGTGCTAATTGCACAGATAAACGTTTTCCGTGGAATTAAACGTCACAAATGGACCGATTGAATGGAAAAAAAGGATATCGGCCGTCTCGAGGCTTAGCAGCGAACGCTGACTGCCTGCTCCGTATCACGGCCGATAGTGAAAGGAACGTCGACTGCGCCGCGAACGAGACGCGATTTTGGAATCTTCGTCTCGTTATCTTTCGCGACGATAAAGAATATCGCTAGACGCAAACTATTATGCAAACCCCTCTTCCGCGTATGGCGGGAAAAGAGACTGCGTTTTTACATATCGCACTAAGATATCGATGCTCTGGTATTTTCCAAACAGGAAGCGGCAGAAAAACAACTGCGATCGAAATCGGGGATATTGGCTCACAGACGCTCGAAAGCAATACCGAATAGAATTGGATGAAACAGCGCAAAGTTATCTATTTAATTTCGTGATGCGCTTCGGCGCACACGTATCCATTATATTTGTTAACTGCATAAAAGGTGCAATGATCATTTTTCAAAATTCTTTCAACTTTTTCAATTAACTGTTGATATTAGATAAACGCACGACGTTATCAAACGTGTGGCTGGACAATTACATATCGATGCTCCGGACACGGCCATATATTAAACAAATGCCAGTCAAACGTTATAAAATATTGTACGATCGATTACCTCTCGGTAGATTATCAATTGTCCTTTGAACTTGCTCTCGCGTAGATCGCAACGTATCCTCTATTTGCGAATTCAAATTTCTGGTTAGCTGTGCCACTTGCTGGTTAATATTGTGAGTCAGAGCGCCGATACTCTCGTTCAAATCGCTCTCCCAACCCGGGGCACTCGCTCCCAGACGAGCTCTGCAATAGGAAAAAAGAAATCGTGAGGGGAACTATCGGGGATCAATGACGGATTATACGGATTCATTTACTTGCTCGAGCACGTATACGCAATTGTGGCGAACTATATGCTTGCATTTATGCAATACGTGATTCATACGCGCCGGCCGTGAATAAATGCGCGCATGACGGTACGACGATAGCTATAAGTCCTGCTATCATTGGCGCGGGCACTAAACAGCCGGCGCATTCAGCGTGGAAGTAGTTTGTCGGTTAATAATTTTAGTGTCTGAAGCTGAATCCAGACCGAGCAAACGCGTTAACAATTTGCTTCATTTAACAAGTGTACACCGCGAGTACTCGCGGCAAGTTGTTCGCTCGTGTTTGTTCGCGCTTGTCTGCTTTCGCGAGATCTCGATACAGGCACGAGACTCCGATTGCATAATCCGCATTTATGTCCGCCGTGTACACGTATCCGGGGAAAAAAAAGGTAATAGGCTATCTCCATCGAGGAGAACTGACCTGGCCAACAATGCAACGATCAGCACGACGGGGTAGACTTTCCAAGCCATTTTCTTTCAATGTTCCTGTTCGGACCTTCGCCGGTCGGTCAGACGAGCGTAGACGGGAAAGTGGAGTCGCGTAGCTGCAAGTGCGTAGAGGCCCGGTCTGCAATGAGTTAGTCGTTAGTCAGAAGTCAGAGTTTATACATGTCGGTCCTCTTTCTTCCGCCCAGAAAGGAAAATGATCAACATATAGTTCCGACTTCTGACTAACGACGGACCAACTCATTGTAGACCGGGCCTAAGATTTCATGGACAGTGAGCAGCATTTTATTAACTCACTAACATCGATGTGATCGCTTAACGAAATCGTAGCGCTGCCTATGAAATATGCTGCTTTGCTGTTCACCTGAATGAACCTCGAGCAGCAAAAACTTACTTCGGAAGTGCGTCATCTAAATCACTAACTTACTAAAATGGTGCTGCTGTTCACTGCCCATGAAAACTTACCCTAGGAAGGATCGCGTTGGATCACGTCGCGCACAAACGGATATCGCACAAATGCCTCGTTTCGCGTGCACCGGCGATTGGCGATCGGCAATATTGCACCTAGCGCTACTAACGTTCTGTCGTGCTCCGCCGTTTCTCTGCACTTATATACACAGCAAACATTCTCTAGTAACGATGTTATCGCTATGCCGTGACCATGATACGTGTTCACACGTCGCACGACAGCCGGCGATCGAGGAAACATCGAGTCTTTAAGGGAACGCGAATCCTTGTGGAATCGTTTGGATAACGTCATAGGCGAGATGCTGCGGATAATAGAGGAGAGGGGGGGGGGAAACGATAAGGAATAAAAAGGAGCCGTTTTACAGTAACATCAATAGCGACAAGGGCTAGAGGGAATGAAAAGTTTCAATTTAACAGTTATTAGTGTAAGATTCGAGATAAGATTTCTCCAAGAGAAAGAATTGATTTCTTCACTTCAATTACAATATTAGCACTTATGCAATACTTATGATTAATTATATGCTGGCGGACGTAGATCGCGTGAACTGTCGGGGAACTGCTGACGAATTATCGACAGCGTCAGCTGTCGAGAAACGATGACAAACTACTGCTGCAGTCGGACAGTTCTTTTTTATTATAATAATAATAATTTATTGCGACGCATAATGTACAGAAAAAATTTCCGGCCCACAACTGATACAAAATACATAGCACGCGAAACGCGAGTCACCAACAAAATTGCTGCTAAAAAGCCTCATCAACTTTTATCAAAGATAAGATAAACAATTATGTATTATAAAAGACACGCGACAAAGTAATAGAAATAAGTATAGAAGACACACAACGTAACAAGGAAGGAACTGTTGGCGACTCTGAGCGAGTACAACGCTACTCAATTGCCGCATGTTTCGCCAAGAAAAAGCCGATAATATACGTAATATAATATAAAAAGAAATAAAACAAATTTCGGCGAAAAGTCCGTTCGTCCAACCGCACGCTTCACATCAGACAGGCGTGAAAAAGGGCCCGCTCGAGACGAGCCACCCGGGCGTCAAGGCCATCCAATTTACGGCCATTGATAAGGTACAGTCGCGATCCGAGTTCCGCCATCCTAGAATCCAGAGCTGACAAGGCCGCTGTCAAGACAGATAAGGCAGATTTAACTTGAGGGAGAGAGGCCGAGATGTCCAAGGTGGCAATCATAAGGCCTGTTCTTTATTACTGCACTACTGAACTTTATTAGTGCAATAAGTTAAAATGAAACAATTAGATTACCTCTCATTCCAACTCATTGCACCAGTGTGCACTAGTTCAGGAGTGCAGCAATAAAGAACAGACCCATGGTATCCTCGCGAGAATCCTCAGTCACAGCTGCAATAGCTGGAGTATCACAACCAGTATCACACCGATAATTAGACAAAGCAGCAGCGGAAGAAGCAAGCGAAGGACCATTGACTGCAGCATCAGTTTCGCAATAACTGTAATAAGCACCAACGCGAACGACGTTATCCAGCTTGCGGTGTATGCGGAGAAAGAGAGTGTTTACATTTAGCGTACATCGGTTGATTCATACTGATGTGAGATAATTATTTTTGTGAGTAAAATAAATCACGGGTAACGGCCAGCAACGCAGGTAGAAAATTACATCACGGGAGACGATAAATAAAGTGGCTAGCAGTAAACAATGAGTCACGGATTTTTATACTCACACATTTTTGAAACGAGTGACTGTCATACACGTTTGCTGAGCGCAGTAGCCGAGATAAAACGTATAATAATGCAACGAATTATGCAGCCGCGGAATATGGAATACGACAAACAAAATTAACGCGAGAAAGTAAAAGTTAAACGAGAAAATTCAATTAGCAACACGCATAATACTCGACACGCAACGAGCTGCGCCGTGAAAACAGATTTAGAAAGTAAAGCATAAGAAGCAATGAAGAAAAACATATAAAGTATTAGTCGTCAGTAAATAAAATAAGAGATCCAAGAAATTACGTAAAGTTAAAAGAATCAGTTACCCAAAAGAGGAGATACAGGCGGGAGCGATGAGCGATGGGTACACCTTGAGATGTGACACGTGAAAGTCGAGATTTTTTATAGGTAACAAAAATGCATCTCTCATGCCTTGTCTTGGTTCTGTCGCCGATAATTCTAGCTAATCTGTACATTCCCGGGAGAAAACGACAAGTGAGCAATGGTCACATTAGGAAGTCGAATTTAAAAAATTGTGCGTGCGAGTTTCCGAATTTACGTATATTCTCCTGAGCGTTGTCAAGTTCTTACTATTATATTTTAATATTAAACACATTATCAATATTATATAGTTCATATAATATATTAATGGACGAGTGTGCGTTTGGGACATAAACTATCTCGTTCGCATATCGCATCCAATATAATAAGTGCAAACTACCATTTTTAATTTAACAATTTTACGTTAAGCAACATCATTCTTCCATCGGGACAACAATGACGTTTATTATTTTTTGTTAGAGAGTTCTTTAATCGTCCGATCCGCCGTATCGATCATCTCTCCGATCAGACACGGACGCTAAAAGGATAACGCGAGGTGTCGAGTCGAGATAAATCGTGTATATCAAATTTCTCCTGAATTTCGCGGCCCTCGGCGCGAAGGACCGAGATGCGCCGGTAAGATTTATCGCGATGCCGTTTTCGACCACTGTAATTTCTTGAAACGATCCCCTTGATATATCGGACTCTCGTTACACTTCTCGCCACGAGAAGAATAACTTCTCCACGCTGGCAGTAAACGAAATCATACGCGAGTACGTATCTCGTGCATGTTACACAATTACGCGACGGTCTGTTTGTTATTTCATTGTCTCTGCGAGCTTGAATTGAAAATTGATTCGATTTTACTACGAAAGAAGTAAATGTCTTTATCTTTCTATATCTTGTTGAAAACGAAAATAAATCCTTTTCAAACGCGGACGAGGGAGGGAGAGAGCGAACATATTATGTTATATAATTTAAAATTTTTTTAAATGAAGTAATTAAACAACCATTCATATTTTTATTATCAACATCAAAACGGTAAATTAAATAATTTATGTATAATAATTAAAATTGAGCCATCGATGTGCATATTAACTTTCCAAAATGCTTTCAATCCAATGGAATTAATCTAGCAACGTTCATCCGAGAAACAGGGTACAAGACATGCGATATAATAGTACACTCGATATGTTAAATATTTCGCCGATTGTCGAGGTTTATCAATCGCAGAAATTCGTGGAATTTCGGGCGCCGAGCGCCGGTGCCGAGGGATGACGTAGCGTCGTAAACACTTGGGTCGAAAACAGTCTATTCTCATTGTGCCTATCATTCACGCGGCGACGGTCGAACGGGTCGGTTGGCGGCTCGCGCCGCTACGCATATCGTCTTTATATTTTTCTCGATACGCGCTCAGTGCCTGTGAATAATCAACGATTGATACCGTCGCGTGATCGCCGAGTCCTCGCGATTCTCTGTCGACGCTCGTTTAACCGGCAAGACATCCCTTACGGAAAAAAAGAAACACTCAAGTTTTGAGTGTTAACACCCGATTGTCCGAATTTACTCTCAAGTTCGGTAAAGAATGCTGCCCTTTAGTTGCGGGGATTTAGCTTCCCTTTCCTTCTCACAGCCAAGATCGATCCTCGCGAGAGCTTCATCGCGGAATTTCATACACGTTGAAATCAATTTGAAATAAAAGGAATATAAAAGGCTACAAACGCGTATCTTGTAACATCGACTTCGATTCTATGAATCATTTCGGGCCGGGACGTGTTTTGTTTACGCAAGGTCGCCGCGCATTATAGTCCACGGGACGAAACCGGAGTCCAAAGGGAAAGAGAGGCCGACGGTCGTTTGTGCGAGGTGTAGCGTTATTATCTCTTGAAATGGTCGCAACCAGGGGCGACCGCGAGCGTCCCTCGCCCCGCTTGCAGTTAATAATTCTAAAACGCGGGCGCGATTAATTGCCGCAATTAGCGTCTCGCGAGCGTATCGAAGCGGCCGGGCTATTTGTCAACGCGCGCGTATCTCGCGCAATTCAATCGTTTGAGATAGAATTCGAGAGACGGCGATTACAAACGATTCCGTCGCGATATTCACGAATGATTATTTCGACGTTTTCAAATGCCATTGCTTTCGGATCGAGGGCACGCGAATTAGCGAGCCCGGACACCATCGCTCGTCCATAAATTGCACGCGTAATTTCGCGGGATTTAAAACGTTCGACATACACGACGAAATTGCGACGCGCATCGCGACGTTGCTTTTGAATTCGCGCGATCGCAGGTACGCGCTGAACGTTGCCGCGGGGTGTGGCGCGTTAAGTTAGCGGCGATCGCGGGTCTTCGTTCGAGTGCGCGGCGGCCATGTTGCAAAAAGTCCGGCGAGCCGGTGGGCGGATCGCAGCTTCGCGCGCTCGTTTCGGGGTCTTTCTCTTCTTTCGTCTCGATTAAATTCGCGTCGCCGCGAACGTCGGGAGTGCCGCGAAAGGTCGTAGTGTGAAAATGAGTGCGCGCGTCCGCGAGTGGACGCGTGTGAGTGCCACGAGGAGACGACGCGACGGACCGGACCGGCGAGGAGGAGGAGGCGGCCTGGGAGGCATCCGGCAGTGACGAAGCCACCGAGGGGGTGAGTCTTTTCGTCTCTATACGAGCACCCGTATGTTACTCGTGCATATTCAATCGGTTGTTAATCAAATATTGAAATCCGTCTGATTGTCGGCGGTCTAGTTTACCCCGCGTTTCGTTCGCGCAACTTAACCTATTCATGTACCCCGATCCCGGGAGCTTCTATCGGCTCTAGAAGCTTCTTCAGTTGTGAGATTCGCAAATTTTATCGGAGTACGCACTTCGATTCCGTCACGATGCAAAGCACACGTTAATCGGATTCAAGAGTTTTGCAATTGCAAAGCGGCTCTTTCCGCTTTTGGTGTCGAGCGTAGGCGGCGTAGCGGAAAATTATGTCCTTCAAACATGAAAACGACGAAAAATTTATGAACGCAGAACCGTCCACCAGAATTGGTACATTTTAGACAATCTTGAGGCCACCTGTTAGGAACGGGCGATTTTTCTTAACAGAATCAATTTTTTGGATCGATCTAGAGCGAAAATTTAAAAATCGATTCGCCAAAAACAAAACCTATCAATCGGTTCATCGGAGATAAATTTTTTATCCAATTTTACAAAATATTAA